AAGAAGACAAGTTCTGGTGCCTCGGATACAAGGTAGAGATACACATATCAAAAGAGGTTTTCCAGGGGCGCCTGGGTGGCTCAGTCGGTTAAGCACCCGACTTCGACTCAGGTCATGATCTCATGGTACGTGGGTTCGAGCCCCGCGTCGGGCTCTGTGCTGACAGCTCAGAGCCTGGAGCCTGCTTTGGATTCTGTGTCTCCCTCACTCTGCCCCTCCCCTGCTCATGCTCTGTCTCTCTGTCTCAAAAATAAATAAAAACATTTAAAAAAAATTTTTTTAATTAAAAAAAAAAAAGGTTTTCCAGGCCCCTGAGTGGCTCAGTCGATTAAGCATCTACTCTTGATTTCAGCTCAGGTCATGGTATCAGGGTCATAAGCTCGAGCCCTGTGTAAGCTTAAGATTCTCTCTCCTTCTGCCCCTCCCTTGCTGTCTCTCACCCTAAAGAAAAAATAAATTTAAAAAAATTAAGATAAAGAGGTTTTTAAACAATGTGCAGTAATAGTTCAGAGAAGAGAAGCCTTCAGTTGTCATACGAGGTGGATTAGAAGCATGAGAGAAAGGGGGTGCCTGGGTGGCTCAGTCGGTTAAGGATCCAACTCTTGGTTTCAGCTCAGGTCACGATCTCACAGTTCATGAGCTTGAGCCCTGCATCAGGCTCTGCGCTGACAGCACAAAGCCTGCCTGGGGTTCTCTCCCTCTGCCCCTCCTCCACCCTGACTCTCAAAATAAATAAACTTAAAAAAAGAAAAGCATGAGAGAAAGGATTTAGTAGTTGGTTTTCTTCCATGTTCTTTTATTTTTTTTTTTAATTTTTTTTTTCAACGTTTATTTATTTTTGGGACAGAGAGAGACAGAGCATGAACGGGGGAGGGGCAGAGAGAGAGGGAGACACAGAATCGGAAACAGGCTCCAGGCTCTGAGCCATCAGCCCAGAGCCTGACGCGGGGCTCGAACTCACGGACCGCGAGATCGTGACCTGGCTGAAGTCGGACGCCTAACCGACTGCACCACCCAGGCGCCCCTTCCATGTTCTTTTAATGACTTTATCTATTGTGCTCTTTCTGAAGGCAGTTTCTGGGCCTATTCACGGGAGATTTAGGCTCCCCTTTGATCTTCAGAGATAGTTCTGGCCATTCAAACCACTGAAAGGTTGTCTTTCATTTTTGTATGCATTTATTCATTTTCCTTTTTCCCTCTTTCAGAGGAAAAAGGTGGATTAGTATCTGAGGCCTATGGAGAGGATGACTTTTCTCGCCTTGGAGGTGATGAAGATGGTTATGAAGAAGAGGAGGATGAGAATAGCAAACAGTCGGTAAGTCAGTCTCTTCCCAAATCCAGAGTTGTTCAAAGCACCATTTCATTTGTCAGAAACTTTCTGAACTGTACCGACAGTGTTCCATTCCATGGCCAACGTCATTTCCCCCTCTTCCCCTCCTCCCCCCCCCCCTTTTTTTGTTTGGTATCAGTTGAAAACTGAAAACGAAATTTGTTTTCATCTGGACCATTTTGTATTAACTTTTGAATTGAAATTGGGGGGAAAAGACAGTGGACTATTCTGTTTAACCCAGGTATCAAAGAATGTTTCGTGTTCATTTTCTTTGCTAAGATAATTTATTCCATTTGTGACAACACATTCTTCCTAACCGATTTATTATTTATATCTGCAAAAACCTCTGCGTTATTTTTAATCTTGGTTTAAATCTTTCAGCTTATTAAAAAGATTAGGAAGGAAAACTGTTTAGCTTTTTATTTTTGGTTTGATCCTTCTGAACTTCTTTCTTGGCATCTTACTTGGCACTTTTTATCAGAGTGCCTTTGGCTCTTGAGCACAAATCTTGCCTGACATTTAATATGTTCTGGCAACAAAGAAAGCAAGTGTCTTAATTAACCGGAAAGCCTGTTGATATACTATCACCTGAACCTCATGAGCCAGAATTTAAAAGGAGAGAGAAAACAAGGGTTCAAGCGGGGGCTTAGCACAAAGATATACTAAGTGAAATCTGGATATAGAGTCTGGCTCTTTAGCAACACCGTTAATTGAAACAGTGTACTTTATTATTTGTTTGAAAGCTTTCTTATGCATTGATATGTAATTGTTAGCGTTAAAATGCTTTCTAATGAAACAAAAATGCGTTTTGTATTTGATGCTCTTTTGGAAGATATTTTCGTGCCCTTAGCCCCACCATTAATGCTGATAATTCAGAATTGACTAAAATTGTTTAGAAAAGCTTTGCAAATTGTTTTCTTTTCCTGACTTTCTCACATGCACACATACTGGCTTAACACCATAACTGTTTTCTTCAATAATTTTGCATGATGTGTTTCTGAAGTGTTGTTCCACCTTGGCTTTGCTTAGAATTTTCATCATATTTACACTTTATTTCACATCCTAGTAAAGTCCTCTCATCAAATTCCAATATAGACGTTCTAAAATGTGATTGTCTTTGGCTGAGCTACTTCTCTGATTATTTGGTGTGACTGATTTCATTTTAAGGAAATCATGGAGATTGCATTTAAACCCTTGGACTCACTGGCACCTGACAGGACAATTCAGTCTCAAACTCATCAGTATAATCTGTTCGAGTCTCGCGGGTGATGTTTATGTTAACATCTGGGGTGCTATTTATGCTTGGGTTAAGGTGTAGCTCGATTGAAAAAAGCAATTTCAAATGAAACTTAATTTTTTTTCCTGGGTGTTAACTTAAAAGGCTTTTGTGCATTGGGGTGTTCTGGGAGCAGATGTGGATATAGCTACCTAATAGGGTAGCTGATCGTTGACCTTCACTGGCATTCAGTGGAATGGTGGGCTAGCTTGTGTGAGGCCAGTGCACGCTTTGGAGAATGCCTTGTTCACATGGTGCTTTGTGTCAGGCAAGCTGTTTGGATCAGGAACAAGACTGGGGAGAACGGGTCAGTGGCAGTTCTGTGAGAGCCTGGATGGAGGCAGGGTCTGCTCAGCTGAGACCCAGGAAAGGCTGGCTGTTGCTCTTTAGTCCTTCCCTGGGTCACTTGCCCTGGTCATTTGATGCCTGTCTTCCTGCTGTTCATGTAGCTGTGAATGTTCCTGGGCTGGAGTGCCGGGGTGTAGTTATACGTGGGTCATGGCACTCCGACCGTGAACAGTGTCACGGTAGATCTGAGTCCAATGTATTTGTGTGTGTGAAAGTCAAAGAAGGAAGAAAGGTTCACGTTCCTGGTTTTAAATAATTGATACTTCATTGAAAACACTGTGCCCTTTTTATCCTGTGGGGCCTGGTCTTCTTTTCTGAAACATGACCGCCTTTTTCCATTTTTATATATGTGATTTTTAATCTCGGGCATTTTCATCGCTGTAGACTGTGACACTGCTGGAGTAACGACTTTGAGCTGCTGATGTCCTCCCTCCCCACCCCCGGAACATCTCCTTCTCCCCTTCTCTTTCTCTATCTAGTTCTGGGTCATAGGGCAGGGGAGGGGTTCTTGGTGGGATGGCCCAGGCTGGGTAAGTTACTCCAGCCCCTAGTTATGCATGTGAGAACCCTCAGGCCCACTCCTTTAAGCTTAATCCTCTAAATTCTTTGTCTTGTAGGAAGATGACGATTCAGAGACTGAAAAACCTGAGGCTGATGACCCAAAGGTATTTGGTGTTGGCTGTGGTGGGGTGGCTGGATGCGAACAAGGCATTGTAACAGTATGTCTCAGTTCCTGTGTCTGGTCAAGATTGGCCCCACTAACACACCCTGCAACCACGTGTAAATATTCTGGGATGAAACTAGCTTTCTAAAGAAGCCTGGAGGTCACCATGGAATGAGGAAGTCCTGAGGCAGTTTGGATTTCCAGAAGCACAGATAGTGCCTTATCTCCAGACTAGAAAGGGGAGAGGCCTGGCTGAGTGTAGCCACCTGCCTGTGCTCTACAGCCAGGTGAGCTTGGTGGGGTCACTGTCCCTGCAGGTGGGTTAGACGTGGGAATATTTCTAGAATCAGGAAGCCCTAAGGGCTGCCATTTGTACTCTTTAGTCATCTAGGTCAAAGTGAGGTCTCCCCAGCTGTTGGAGAAGCTGCACCTAACTCTTACTTCCTCCGGCTGGTACCCATCCACTCTTGGGTAAACAGAATGGTCTTTCGGGTGTATCCTTCTGATAGTTCCTTCCCAGTAGCAGCTCAGAGTAATTAAAGACATTTCCTGTCATGCTCCCTGACCTATTGTGATGATGGCTAAGATCTCATTCCCCGTCCCCCGCAAGTAGGCTTACCGTGCTATGCACTGGGCATCAATATAACTGTGCTTGTTAAGAAAGCAGTCTTTAGGAAACATTTCTCTTTCAAAGAGGAAGTCTTAATTCCATCACTCTAGGCCTGGGAAATATGGGCCGACTTTTGTGATTAAAAACTGCTTTGAAACCAACTGAAGCCTTCAAGGCAACGTAGTGAAACTCTAGAAAATGGTCCCAAATTGTAATCAAAATGGTAGTATGTCCAAAAATACAGTTCAAATTTGAACTGGTTCTGTGTTTGGATAGAACTGTGGCGACCATTGGAATAAAACCCGTGAAAAGTTGTGGATGATGCAGATAACACATTTCACCAGGAAAGGAAGTTTGGGCATCAGCATGCAGAAAGAAGAGAATATTGAGCCCTAGGCACAGCAAATGTCACTCCTTTCTGTGCCGAGTAAGGAACCCAGGCTTAACTCACGCAAGCGCTACGAGCAGGAGGGTGGACGTGTGGCCTGGATCACAGGTGGCCATACCTCTGCTTGGGCTCGCAGAAGGAAAACGGCCAGTAGTAGCAGGAATCCTCTGTCTTAGTAGTCGGGAGTGTGTGGGCCTTAGAGCCCACGCGTGAAGTGAACCCGAGGAGCTGCCAAGTGCTGGGGCTTCAGTGTGGAGGGAACGGAGGCAAAAGGCTCAAAGGCCTCCTGGGGAAGTTGGCTGGAGAGAAAGGTGCAGGTACTTTACTGTCAGCCCTTCTGGAAAAAACAGCAAATCCCCTGGGAATGAGGAAGAACAGCCAGGGCTGGGGGTGAGGTGGACAGAATTGGGAAGTTTGTTGATGTGTCTTCTGCTCAGTCTTTCTTGGAACCACATGAAGGTTGGAAAGACACGTTTATACTTAACCCCTTGACTGATGTGCTTTACTGTATTTCATTCAGTCATTTGAACTTTTAGTCTGCTTGTAGAATGAAAAGCTTTCTGAGACAGTTCTTGTTCTTAGGGAGCCCTTGGAGAACAGGACAGAACCTACTCTCACAGTAACTTGACATAGTTCTTTTGGAGGCTGAGCGTGGAAGGGGTCAGACAGAGCTCTCCCGCTCAGAGATCCTCAAGTCCAAAAATCATGAGTGTTAGTGGCATCTCCAAGGACTAAAAACAGTCCTCAGCATGAATCTTCTGTGCTCCCATGCCTTAGTCCTGGCGTTGGCTTCCTCTCTTGCCCTGAACTGGCATCAGACTATCTTGAGGTAGTGGCCTAGACCTCAAATGCCTCCCAACCCTCCCTCTACTCCGGATCTTTTCTGGTGCATTTAATTGGCTTTTAACAATATTTTTATCTTCCACATCTTGAATTTTGAGTATTTCTGCCTTCGGTATGTGAAATTTCTAACAATAAGAATATGTCACCAGGATGGATTAGGGGTGTCATTTATTTTGGTTGTGAATGGATTGATGTCATAACTGTCTTTTCCACCAGATGGCACTCCTTCCTGCCTTGGCCTTTTTTTTTCTTTTTTCTTTTTTATTTATTTTGAGAGAGAGAGTGCAAGCGAGGGGGGCAGGGGCAAAGGGAGAAGGGGAGAGAGAATCCCAAGCAGATTCTGCACTCTCAGTGCGGAGCCCAACAAGGCCTTAACTATGAACTGTGAGGTCATAACCTGAGCTGAAATCAAGATTCAGACGCTTAATCGACTGAGCCACCAGGCACCCCAACTGCCTTGGCTTTTTAAAATCTGCTTTTGATTTTTTACTACAGCAGTTCTCAAAACATTTTGGTGCCTTTACACAATTAAAAGCTGAGGATCCCAAAGAGTATCACTTCATTTAAAATTGAGAAACATTTGGGATGCCTGGGTGGCTCATTCGGTTAAGCGTCCAGCTTTGGCTCAGGTCATGATCTCGCGGTCCATGGGTTCAAGC